TCTAACATACGTTCATAAAAAGGTTTATCTTAGTTTTACTCAACAATAAGCCTTTTTGAAAAGAAACGTCTTCAGGGCTTTCTTAAAACTGCTACAGAATCGCACTCTCTTAGCTCCCGTGAAAGGGCATCCCAAAGCTGGGGGGGGGACACATATAGAAAATGCCCTGAACCCGTACGATTTTATATTATAACATTGTGTCTTCAGAAGCTGCATGTTTCCTGATCTAACACTACGGCGACGTCTTTAAAAGTCCAATAGATCCTGGCGATATGCAGGTGCCATACCATTTACCACTTCATATGTAAATAACAAGATCTTAAATTCTACGCGCTGCTCAACTGGCAACCAGTGAAGCTCCATTAGTACTGGCGATATGTGATCATGCTTCCTAGACAATGTAACTAGCCTAGAGGCAGAGGTCAACACGTATTGCAGGCGCTGGATCTTATACTCAGGAAAGCCATACAAGAGCGCGTTACAATTATCCAATTTAGAAGTCACAAAAGCGTGCACTGAAGTCTTAGCGTTTTCTACACTGGGAAACTTTCCAATTCTTGAAATTGATCTAATTGTGTGAAAAGCAGATTTACTCACTAATACACGCCGGGATGAACGCCAATAAGTTTCTTGTTACGACTCAGTCAATCAGGAATTTACGCAACCTCTTGTCAGGTTCTCTCTCCTACCCGTCTCTCTCTCTCTCTCTTGTCTGTAGGGGTGGGTAGGAGAGAACCGTGGAAACGAGGTTGGAATTTACGGACGCCAGCGTGCGCAGAAATGAACAATAGGGGCTTTTTATAGCAGGCGTCCCTTACCCCCTCTCCCCAATCCCCTCCCTATTTCCCTTCCGTCCCCTTATCCCCTTACCCCTTTCGACGCCTGCTACGCTGGTTAGGAAGAAGTGTAGGGGGGAAACACGAGACTTAGTAGAATGTTTTTCCCTACTTCTTAATGCTTACATTAGTCAATCACAATCCTTTTTAGAATGGGATGAATGATTTCATTGGTTGAATAAGACAAAAGCTGTCAAAGCATCAAATCTATCACAAAGTGAAACGAGCGAAACGTTCTGTGAATTTGAATGCAGAAGAAATGTACAATCAGTATCTGTAGGTAAAAAGTGCTTATAAAACCGGCCGAATTGCGGCCAATGAAAATCTGGACGTCATTAACGTGACAACTCCCTTTTAAAAACGTAATTTTCGTGATCATAGAGTAAAAAATTTTCTTAAAAAGTCTTCCAAAACTTTGCTGCCGTGAATGAATTTCAAAACAGGACCTTTTTGCGCTCCGCCATGAAGAAAACATTGCTGAATTCGTCAAAGGACGATTTCGTAACCAAAAGCTTTCCGTATCCACAAAAAAGAAAACTGAGCATTCCTTTGAACTTTTCCTTTCCATTTGTGTCTTTTAACGGTGTATTTTTAACCCTGAAACGCCAAACCTTTGTCATGAAAACCACCGCATGGTGTGATTCACAGATGGCGTCACAGACTTAGGCCCGGTTCAGACGCCGCTCCACTCATGTGCCGAACCTAACTGATGAATTAAGTACGGCAAAAGAGCGGCGTCTGAATCAATTTGGTACAGTAGTTTTAGTTTGGTGCGGCAAAAGCGTTAAGTTCGACAGAGTCTGTCGATCGTTTCTCGAACTTAACTTAGGTTCGACACACGGTACGCCGTCTGAATCAGATGTCGCGCCAGTGTCGCTCCAAAGTCGAACTTACTCAGTCAGGTTCGGCACATGAAAAGTACGGCGTCTGAACCAGGCCTTAGCTCCGTGTTTTATACTCTCATAAACCGTGCGTTTTCAACCAATCAGAGTGTGCGTTATATCTGAACTTTATTATAATTTTTAATAACACAACAAAAAAGTTTCTTTTACACAGCTGTATTGTGGTGAAACTGTTTTTATTTTTACTTTTCTGAGCAAAAATGTTTTTCCGTGAATATCCCCCTAAAATGCTCGAATAATGCTAGCATAATGCACAAAGTGGAATCTTGTTTTTACTGGCTTTCAGAAAATAGCCCCTTTAACTGAACAAAATTCAATTGTATGTAAAAATGTGACAAAAACAAGGCCAATTGAAAGGGAAAATCTTCACCCTTTATAAAAGGTTTTTCACTCCAACAGTCACAAATCAAAACTTCATACAAGCTTAAAAACGCCATTTATAGTGTACCATGGCTGAAATAGTCGAGAAGATTTCTAAAAAGCTATTTGAAAGGAGCGCATTACAAACGTTCTGCTGCATTCCCTCCCCCGCAACACCCCCAATGCTCGTAGAGGCCTATAGACAGCAGAATTTCATTTTTAAAAATCTGACCAATTCTTCCTGGCCAATTCTACCGGGAAATCGATCAAAACGATCCGGTACGTCTCTTGTAAGTGTTACCGCGTTTGACCTTAAGCTATACCGCATCAAAAATTGAGAAAAAATGGTCGTCACGACTGGCAATGTGAACATGAAAAAAGTGAATATTAACAAGAATGCTTTTATCGCTCTTCCTCCTTCACGGACAGTTTAACTTCCTTCATCAATTCTTTACTTTCCGTGGCCGTTTTCCGAGCGCATGGTTCGGCATTCCAAAGGCACACCATCAACTCGATCCATTCTGTAGGAGGAGGGTGGCGAGTGCCTCCGCGTCCTTCGCTGAGTTGTTTTCTCTCGTTTATTTGTCGGGTAACCTCCTCTTGACTGCAGGATATCGGTTCAGAACGAACTCTTTCACCGAACCACATTTCCCACATCATCAATCCGAAGCTGTACATGTCCACTTTGAAATCGTAGATTTTCTTGTCGAGGGTTATCTCTGGAGCCATGTACCATGGTGACCCACAATATGATCCCGTTATCTGGTTTCTAAAGGTGGCCAGCCCCAAGTCTCCTAATCTGATTTGCTCGTGTTTGTTAATCTATGAACGAATGTTAAGCAATTTTTATGCAAATTTAGCAAAATAACACGAGTGAATATTATCTCTCATGAAAATAACTATTTCCCTTTCACTATTAATTCGTTATTTCGCGTATAAATGCACCTGTCAGTAAAACTCATTTATCTCTCATACCTTGTGAGCAAAAATTTTGTTATTTAACCATATACATAAACCTTTTTAAGCTCAAAACATAAAACGGTTTTTGGAAACTCGCAAAGTAGTCTCTCCTTCTCAGAAAAATTGATCGTACATAAATTCATTATTATAGAAACGAGAAGGGAACTGGTCCGATTAAACTTTCGCAAAGACTTCTGGGATTGTTACTCGGGACAGTCAGAAAATTGGCCAATAGATAACTGGCGCTTCCCCAGTAACGATCCCGGAAACAATAGACCTTTTTACCGATACGTCGGCCATATTGAATTAATTGGATTTAAGGAGTATTGGATGCCCAGGGGGCATGAACACGATCCAATATACTCGCATTAGTATTTACGCCCGCTTTTCGGGCCAATTTTTCTTCAAATTTTCCTAGAAAAGATTGTAATGGAAAAAAAAAGATCGTTGAGCCGTGTTTGGATGTAATAATGATCGTCTTTTTCCCGAGAAATATACATTGAAATTCTCTTTTTGCCAGAAAAACGCGCGCTAATACTGAGCGAGTGCCCCCTGGGTATCCCAGAATGCTCCTTAAATCTAATAATTCAATATGGCCGCCGTATCGGTAAAAAGGTCTATTGCGGGATGCATTTCGGCTCCAGTCCCCTTCCCTTTTCTTAAGTGGCAAATTGGGGCCTTAAAGTAGTTTGGGTAGATTTTTGTACTGTACTGCTTGATAAATCGGCTGCGAATACAGCCGCTTACTATCGCTCACCCCCGCCGGGTACTTTTCGAGACGGAGGGCGCTCGCGATCTCATATTTTGGGGATATTTGAGTTAATCATTAAGCAAAGCGGGAGCAAAGGGAGTGATCGGTTGGGAGAAATCTTTCCCATTACTTCCCGCTCGAGACTGTGCTCGTTCCCATCAATCCCATCATTCCACACTCGCCCTTGTCGTTCATCTCCAGCACCCAAGTCCGAGCTCCCCACCACGCCCTGGGTAGCCTGTGGAAGAGGTACTATAGGTCTAATTTGGTCATGTAGACGACTGACGCTTTATTTTAAAGTCGCGATATGTCAGTTCTAAGAAAACTTGGCCTTGTAGATTCGTTTGGCGGTCAGCGCCTCTAATTGTCGTCTCCCAGAAGGACTCCAATACAATATTATAGTAAGTCTATATTACGAGTTATTTTAACCATTATTAGCACGTTACTGAGCAAAACAAGCGTACGTTCCATTTCAGTAGCAACACAAGACATCGTTTGCAACAGGGTTCCAGTGTACACAATCGTTTGCCTCTACGGTTTGAAAGGCTACAGGGGAGAATTTAATTGAAATGACTTACTAGGACATTAGCAAGCTTAAGATCCCGATGAACGATTCTCCTTCCGTGAATGTAATCCAGAGCATCTAAAATATCACTGCCCCATTGGCATGTGAGAACTGCTGCGCTCTTTGTCTCCCACGGTACATTTTTCCTGTTTTGGAAGATGTGATTTTCGAGACTTGCCTTGCACAACTCAAAGACGAGGGCCAAGGAACACAGCTGGTAGTTCTCGACATCTATAACTACTCCATAAAACGCCACTATATTGGTATGGTTTAGCTGCCTGCAAAAAAATAATATTTTCATCTCCTGTAACTTCGAGATAAACTTATTTTAGCACAATTCAGTGATCAGACTTGACGATTTTTAAATGGTTTACAAACTAGTTTTCCAAGAAGCGAAAGAAGCCCTTTTTTCCGGTAAGCTTAGCTCTGTTTTAGTTCTTAGTTTAATATTTAACATTTTGGTCGCAGGTAATCAAAAGGTAGGGCGCGTAACATGTAGCGTTCAAGAAAACAAAGGAGAGCTCCTTTTGCCCCTTCTCTCTTTTTTTTTTCTAAAACGCCTGCCAACAGTTCCTTCCACAGACATGGAAGGAAGGAAGGTCGTCAACGAAAGCAAAATGAGTGTAAGCCTTGGGCGAATCAACTCTTCTGTGAAAGAAACTCGCTTACATCAGTATTTCTGCTTCTTTGACGAAGGACGCAACGTTTGAAGCCTGAGAAGTGTCTTTTAGCTTTTTGACAGCTACTTCTTTTCCTGCACGCCTTGAAAGATTGATCTCTCCCTTGTAAACTTCGCCAAAAGAGCCACTTCCAAGTTTCCCCTTGTAACTAAGTATACTTTTGTCAATTTCGCAGGAAGGGGACATCACTCGTATTCCATACTGAATGGCATCAAAGGTTAGGTTTTGGCTCATATCCTCAAGCTTTATGTTCAAAGGAATAAGTATCTTGATCTTTCCATTTCGTGTTTTTTCATCTTCGCTTTTGGTGAGATCCTCGCATTTCTTTTCATATTTCTCAAGCAGCTCCTTATAGCATCTCTTGATACTATCTATGCGTTCCCTCTCTTCGGTAAATTCTTGCGAAACTCGATCGAAAATTACTTGGTCAATGTTTCTCTGAAGGAAACGCGTGGATAGTTCTGTTAGGACTTGGCAGGAATCGTTTCTCTGATACCGGCTTTCGTTCAGGATTCTGTCGACAGCCAAATATCCAATTACCGGCGCAGATAAAACACCTGCAGCTAAACCAATTGGGAACAGAACTGGCATGAAAACGACGCTTGTCAGAAAGATGAATTTCTTAACTCTTGCATCCAAGGGAGAACGGAATGCTTCGTGTGTGGATTCGCCAATAAGGACCAGATCGATGTCTCGTACGTCTTTCTCAAATTCATAGAATTCTTGACGAAATCTCTCCTCCAAGTCCTCGTGAGCCTTGACAAATAGTTCATCCTTCTTTTTCAGAGTCTGGAGAAATTTTTCCAAACGTTGCTCAAGGCATTGGCTGTAAATCTCTTTCCGTTTTCTCACATTTGCTTTTTGAATGTCGTCGATTTGCGGCAGATCCTTTTCTTCCCATGTGCAAAATGCGCGTTTTACGTCATCCTGTAGTAAATAGGATCTGACTTGCTGAGAAATATCGTTCAAGTGCATGGAGAGTGCTTTGTCAGTCTCCGTTAAGAAAGATCCTTGTCTTAGTTTATCCAGCTTCTTTTCAACGTCTTGTTGAGCTTTGCGTCGCTCTTCTTGGTTGTGTTTTGCCTTATTAAGTTCAACTTTAACCTGGTCAGATAAGGACTTGAGACAGCCACTTGACATTCTAATAAATTGTGAGAAAAAAGTTAGTTCCAGCTTAAAACAGCACAGGGTGAAATCTGTCAGTAAACGGACCCCATGTCAAACGGTTGGACCCCATGTCAAGTGGACACGAACGACGGTAAGTCTTACACATATCTTCCCATATTTTCTGTAATAGGTTGAAAGCAATGGTTCAGTGTCGGTTTAATGACTAGTTAAAAACTGTTTTTTACCAGTCTTTTCCGTCGGTAGCTTCAACTGTTTGCCATACTTTTGTAGCCAAATTTCTGTAGCTTAGTACTGAGGAAATCCCCCAAAACATTGACTGTTCAGGAAGCACAAATCAAACCCAATCAAAGCATATCTCATCTCCATATTCGCTGTTTTTTCAGTAAGTGACAGCTCTATATTAGGAGACCCCGTCTTCGGTCGCACTTTCGCTGACGTGCACGTGACTGATAAAAAGATAATTAAAGGTTGTAGGGGATCTTGTGCCTGAAGATAATGAACTCAGAAGACTTGGTAGGTTTTGATTTTGCATTACGATGATGTAACATGGAAACTATCAATATTAACCAAGAGGTGTTCGTATTAAGCTCACTCCCGAGACATTCAAATTACCTGTAGAAGTGTTCGGTTTTCTTCTCGAGACAAAGTGGAAGAAGGCGATGAAGTCCATTTATGAGGCTGCTTAAACCATCACTCATCACACCAAACTTCTGCTGGATTTGGGCTGCAGTGAACACCGACATTTCAATTACCTGGGATTTCTGCTTAAGTTTCGGGATTTGCTTCTTAAGTTTGCAGATGATTTCAGATTTAATCTTTTTTTGGGCTAACGGATTGCCCTTTGTTTGCCTTTCCACATCATCCCACTTGTTGCACACGAACAAAGCAGACTCAGAAGTGAGGCCGGTGCATTTGTCTCCTCCGTATAGTTTTTGCCATTCCCTCACAATACGCATAAGCTAAAAGAAAATAAATAACCAGACCATTGTATTTATTAGGTTATCGTCTGTCAGTGATAAGTGGTACACAATATTGAATGATCACCACAAAATGTTTGGCAAAGGCCATCTGTTTTAGTTTGCGTGAGAGTAGAAAGTTGGAAAAAACCACCTTGTGGCTCTGTAAGTTTGTTTAGTGATTCGTTTTTATAGAGTGCATGTATTCCTAAACTGTGGAATTTATGGTCCACATATACACGGGAGGCTTCCCATCGGTGCACCCAGAAATTGCTCGGGAAAAGGGCAGTTTTAATGAGTGCATCGCTAGGCACAGAAACTGGCATAAGGCACCCTAAAGGTGGTTTCTCCGGTCGGTTGGATCCAATCGAAACTTTATACCGTGCTATTTTCAGAAATTTCTACTAGTCCCGCTTCACTGGAAAGTAACCAAAATTTCGCTTGAAACGCGAATGAAACGCGTAACTGTTCCCGCAGGTATGATATAACGACAAAGAACCAGCGAGTATAAGACTATTTATGAAGCAGACATAAGCGTCAGGGACTCCAAAACGTTTCTTCCCTTATTTTCTTAAAACGAACCTGTATTAAGAGAACTCGTCACTAAGAAATGGGTGCTATGTTCAACTTACCCTGTCGTCTTGCGTTCCTCCGGCATTCGGACTGTTGATTACGTAAATGAAGGCGAAGGCTTGTGGCAAAAATTCCAACGCAATGTTACAGACTTTCTCCGAATCGCCAATGCCCGGACTGTCTACAATGACCACACCTCCCTGCAAGAGAATGAAAGATTAAAGCAAGGGTGTGCTACAAGATTTAGAAGAAAGTGAGCATGTTGAATACACAACTAAGCTGGAAGTTACACCAAGGAAGCGAAGCTTTTCTTCTTACTCTTTAGTTGGGTAGGACTACCTTGCACCTATCAATGGAGCCGATAACATCATTATGTAATGTTTACTAAATGAGCAGCAGTGTTTTATTGGGTTTAATCATGAGCCGAAGGCGAGTGATTTTAGACCCGATAAAACACGTGCTGCGAGTTTATTGAACGTCTTCAAAAACATTCCAGGACTGAAAGCGTGTCACAATAGAGTCAATAACAATGGCGCTTTTGTGAACATTGGAAATTAACATACGAAAAAAAAATTTTGGTATGATACTAGTATGCAAGAAAATCAAATCTCTCACGTGTTTTGAGCTTTTCTTCTCCGAACGACACATCCAAAAGGACATGGCGTCCTGTTCCAAAGCTTTTCGGAAGCCTAAAAATGCCGAGGAAGAGAGGAAGTTAATCGAAAATGCTACCCCAAAAGTCAACACGTGCAGTGACAAAGTGGTCTTTGAAAATTTTCCTGGAATAGCCGAATGGGAGGAAAAACAAGAATCCAGCAATCGAGCCTTGCGCCCTGTTCACAAGTGTAACGCTTGAACACTGCTAAAGCCAATATTACGGCTGCGTCACTAAACTTTTGGGTGTGGCTGACTAAATTTCTGGAAGAACAAAGTTTAATTTTGTGCAATAGTAAATTTACTGAGTTTGCAAATAGTCGAAAGAACATTAAATATACCCACCATTTGTTGTGTCAGATTAATATTCATAAATCACGTGCAGTGACTTTATATCTGATAAAACACCTCATACTAATAAGGAGGAGGTCTTATCGATATCACTACACGTGATTGATCATCAGCCATTTGATAGGTCAATGGGCTTACGATTTATTAATTAGTTTTTGAAGGCCATCTACTTGATCTTCTGGCCGTCTATTGTTGGCGAATTTCACTAAAATCAGCACAGGTGATGGTACTCGCAGGTTAACCCGACACTAGGCTCGATTTCCGCCGCTCTCTCGGCCCTCCCGAGAAAAGACAGCTGGACGCGTAAGTGCCTATCGTGTCTGTGAGGTAAATTTAAAACTTATGATCTATGCGTCGTTACCAAACACCGGAAATGGGAAAATAGCAAACACATGTTGTACTTTGCCTCTTGGTCGCTTTGGTGTTCGCCATAAAAATCAGCAGAAACACGTACTGGTTTAAGGTGTTTACATTGATCTTGCATAAGCAAAGTTTGGAGTGCAATTACAAGAGAAATGGACTTGACAATCGTATCTTTCACGTTAGCTGTCAACAACCATCGTTGCATGTAGACTGGAAAATAATTTATGACCAAGATTCGGTTGGTTGAATTTCAAAAACTTACCTACCATTTTCCAGCTTCTCTAAGCTAACGCTTTTCCGTAAATATTTCATGTTTTTAAACTGAAAACGCGCTAAAACACGATCACACGCCATATCAAACAACACCTTTCCATCCGCCATTTGAAATGTGCTCCACGAAAATAAATTTATGTTGCTTGCTCGATTTGAGCAGGCAACGATCTGATTGGTGGTAATTGACAATAGCAAACGCATGCGTGCGGCAGTGTGTTTGGGGGAGGAACGCGGACTCATTTCCCGAACAGCGTCTGGTAATCGAGCCTACCCCGAGACGTGTGGACGAACAGGAGAGGCGACCGGGGTAGCAGAAAACATCCAACAGGCAGAGCAGAAGAATATCAGAAGACAAAAAGGAAATGGTTTTTAACCTCTATCTACAGTCGGCGGTGATATAGAAGAGACTAAACGACTGATCAGCCACCTCTGGAGATGCTCAACTCCCAAGTATAACTCTGAAGCAACTCATGAAGTGACGTAATCTGCACACAGCTACTGAGCTCTCGCTCCGTTTTGCAGGACTCGGCTGTACTGTCGTAATTTGCCATGATCACCGCACTTTGTAATACCTGTCGCAAATTGTAATAAACCTTGTCGCACCTTGTGACAAAAAAGCTCTCGCAATTTGTAATAACTTTCCATCGCACTTTGTAATAAACCAAGCTGTCACAATTTGTAATAGACTTTAGTTATCACATCCTATGAGATGCGCTTTTATGACTATGATCTCAGTCACGACATCAAACTTGCTGCCCCCTAACCGAAAAAACACATTGTCTTTGCATAGGCGGAGGTGAAGTAAGGTTAGAACAACAAAAGAAATTGCACGTTCATCTAGCAATTGATCGTTAATCAAGAAGTTACAACGAACAACAAGGAAACGACCGACAGAAGCTCTCCCGATTTTATATTTTAAAAAATATAAATGTTTATTATGTAAGGATACATAAAAGGAAACGTCAGACGTTATCCATATCGATGTCGCTCACTACATAAAATATAAAAAATATATACTACAATGTAAAATTTAAGCAAGCGAATATTAACGTTAAAAGCCGACCTTTCGGTATCATCATGACACCATTCTCAGGGCAAAATGAATAAGTAATGCGAAGATTTGATTTCTATAGTCTCTACAAATTAGCATAATAACAAAGGATCACAAGTTCTTCAAGTGAATACCTTTGCGCGAATCGAGTCCGCCTGCACGTTTAGAATTTAAGAATAATTAAGAAATGACTAAAAAACATTACAAAATTTTACAATACTTTTTAAGTTTACTTCGAAAAATGCTGAAATCCTGTTCGTGCACTATCTCTTTAAGAAGAGCGTTCCACTGTTTAATAATTCTAACAAAGAATGAGTGCAAAAACTTTTTACTCTAGCTAATGGCTGTCTTAATTTAAATGAATGGTTTGATCTTGTTTTACCATAATTAAATTCAAAATAATCATTACAGTTGAGGCCATTAAGACCATGAATAGTCATGTAGTACTCTAGCAAAGAGAGATAAGACCTCCTTGATTGAAGACTGGACCACCCAAGCATTGCCAGTCTTTCTTCGTACGGAGAGTCCCTAGATGACATCGGGAGAGCGTATTTTCAAGGCCCTACGTTGGACTCATTCAAGAGCGTCAATGTTCTTCTGTAAATGGGGTGACCAGAGAGGGACAGCATATTCCAGAATTGGTATAACCAAGGCCTTGTACAGATGAGAAAAGACTTCCTTGTTCCCTGCACCAACATTCCTTTTAAGGAAACCAACAATCTTGTTGGCTTTATTTACAACTTTCTGCGTTTGGATGTTCCAGGATAGATTAGAAGACAATGAGACCCCCAAATCAACCGTTTCGGTGACAGCATGAAGCGCACAACCAGAGAGTTTGTAAGGATAGCTAGTATGATCTCTCGCATGGGTAACACGTACAACCTCACATTTGTCAGGGTGAAAACGAAGTTGCCATTTTTCACTCCATTTCTGTAGCGTGTTGAGGTCACATTGAAGTTGTTTCTCGTCGTTTTGACGTAAATAATCCTGTAAACCTTGCTGTCATCTGTAAACAGGCGCATGCTTGACCTTACACTGGTTGTGATATCGTTAATATAGGCAAGGAAAAGGACTGGCCCTAGTACACTACCTTGGGGAACACCAGAGGTGACCATCGTCCAAGGAGAAAAATGCCCACGGAATGAGACTCTTTGTTTTCTACCGACGATAATTAGCAATTATTGGACGAGGTTGAGCAAAATATCATAATTTGCCAGTGGCGAGCAGATCAATTATTTTCGGCTTCGGCAAATAACTGATCTGCGAGACACCGACAAATCACGATATTTTGCGATAACCGAGTTCAATAATTGTTTTATCATTCGATCACCGAGTTTGTTTTTTAAGGAATATCCTCGGGAAGCGAAGCGATCTGCCATTTTCACGCAAAAGCGATCGCAAGAAGGGGAAAAGCGTGGTTTCATTCACGCATGAGCAGAATAGTATTTGCAGCCAAAAACAGTTGAACGACATTTTCGCATGAGCACACCATTATTTGTAGGCAGTTATTTGCAGGTCACGTGGTGAGCTCTCGGCCAATGAAAAGGAAGAAACATTTGCATCGAATAATAAAGTGGGTTAGCCAGTTAAGGAGATTTCCACCAATTCCATATCCCTTCAACTTCGCCAGGAGATGCTGATGAGGAAAAAAATTTTTGTAAGTCGTTTTCCCAGGCTGTACATGCTGTTCTAAGTCGGTGTATTCGAGCATGGACGAGCGGATTAAGACATCAGCATGTACAGCCCGGGAAAATGACTGACAAAAATTCTGCGAGCGACCAGGCGGAACAACAAGGTCACGTGAGACGAAATCTTCATAATCTGTTCTTTCAGTCTTGCAGGTCCAGTCTTCCAGGCTTCTTACGATGGGCTGTAACACTGAGATTTATTCTACCTACTTCGTAACGAGTAGTAGAGGACCCTGAGAACGGCGTCCCAGAATCAAAGGTGATGACGTCATCAAATGCGTATATTACCGAAATTCCTTATATCTCCGCTTATTTAGAACAGTTGAATGTAGTTCTCACAGACATTTCCTCAAATTATAGTTTTGTGGTTATACTAACGTTTTCTGTTTTACCTAAGCCTGGTTTTTGTAAAAGATGGTTTGGATGTAATGATAAGTTACCTGAGCAACTTTGGACCCTACAAAACGTTGTTGAATCACCTCCCTTGGGGTTCTTGTGACCAAAATCCTGTCTATCGCAATTGCTCGCTACTTTCCATTTCACGGGTCAAAGCAAGAAATGACTCGCATAAAGTAGATGTATTTTACTCTGTTCCTCATCAGCGTCTCCTGGCGAAGTTGAAGGGATATGGAATTGGTGGAAATCTCCTTAACTGGCTAACCCACTTTATCATTCGATGCAAATGTTTCTTCCTTTTCATTGGCCGAGAGCCCACCACGTGATCTGCAAGAAGAAATTTTAGCTGACCCAAGGTAGACGAGAAGTCAAACCTGTTATCATAAGATGTGTAGTTTGCCATAAACAGAGAGTTGGACCTTGCTCGCAGAAAATG